CATACACCCAAAATAAAGTGTGGGGTGTCTTTGTACAGTCAAATACACAAAAACAGTAACACAACTAATAATCTCATTTGAACAATGTCTGTATTTCTCACATTTATCCTCCTGAGACCCAGAAGATCCTATTTTATATACTTGGAATGTAACTGTGGTGAAACCGATTAAGTGTAACAGTGGTCTGCCATAAATGTGCGCTTCCTTGTCCTGCTGAAATGATCTGCTGCGTGCCGATCACAGAATACTAGACCCCGACTGTTAAATTAGCAAAATGGACTTAAGAGCGAGCAACTGTCCACATCTTCTTTTCATCTCCACAGTTAACAAGAAAAACAAGTTTTTCACACCGATCAGGGTAAAAAAAAGTGGTTGTTTCGCTATGCGTGTTGCAAAGTCCCCACTAGGATAGAACAACAACTGTGTGTGTGCATGCGGGAGGTGTGGAGCGGAGCCCGCGAGCAGAGCGCAGTATTATTAGGAGAGATGAGACTGTGTCGGAGGGCGACTGGTGATACTGCTGGATTATTTTTTATGGAACATGGAAACCTTTTGTTTCAGCAGGTGACCGCTCCCCCTCCCAAATGTCCGGTCGCACTTTTTTTTTAGTCGCACTATTAGGAAATCAGGTCGCATTTGTGACCAAATTGGTCGCACTCTAGAGCCCTGAGATGAGAAGAAAATAAATGATGGCTGCAACACACAATGTGTTACTGTGGAGGATTTTTGAGCCACGTTGGGTTAAATCTTCAGTCTTTGCTCTAACACCACACATATCAAGTTGTATGGATTGTCCATAAATGGCAGGTATTTTCCAACATTTTGCATGTGAACAGATCTATAGAGAAAATCTCAAATACTTTGCTTCAAATTTATTGTAGGTCTCAGACCTGGCCTGGAAAGAAATGCTGACTTAGCTCCCTCTTCCACAACTGTACCTGTACCCCTGCAGATGCTGCCACCCCCAAAAATGCTGGTACACCCCCCTCCACCCATGTATCATGTGAAAGTACTACAATTTTTTTTTTATGAAATTTATGGATTTCTGAAGGTCAGTAAGCATCAGAAGGAGTTGACATATGTAGCACTGAGCTCTGTAGCCACAAATCATATCATGCTTCTTTATTTTTGCATCTGGTTTTAGATACAGAAATTAAATAACTCAACAAACTTGTGATTCAAATGGCTCTGAGCTGTGTTAATGTCAAGGTTGCAATATAGTTTAGATGTCTGAGTGTGTTTTTAAGTTTTACAGAAACACAAGTATGGAGGACCAAACCTATCATTATTGGAAATAAATGTATAAATATATAACTGGCGTATTAAAATAAATTATAGGGTCAAAAAGAAGTTTGACAAATAAATTATTGTGCCATTAAATCAATTACATCAGTTATTTAGATATAAATGTATATTTACATTTTAATTTTGAAGGATTATATTTTCTCTATGTGCTTTATCGCATATTTTTTCTTTATGTTTATTCATTACAAGTACATTTGTTGTAATTTGACTTTTCCAAGCCATTATTTTCTTCTTTCACATTTATCACCAATCACA